CTTGCACTGTAAAACAGATTTGTTCAAGACACATACATAAAATCTGCAAAACAGGTTGTTTAAGGCAAAAAATCAGACTGTCCTTCACAGTCCTCTTCCGAATGTGGACCAACAAGTGCCAAATAGAGTGGAATAATGGCATCCCTTGATCTGTTGGTTATGCTCACAACCTGGGACACGGTTTGCATTCATGGCTGCAAGGGGCATCGCTACCCAGCTTCTCGGCTGGCAGGCCACCAGGCCCCTCAAACCTCTTTCAGCAGCGCTACACCCAGCCAGTCAAAGCCCAGCCTAGCCTAGGGCCCTGTTTTTAGAGAAGGTCAGACGAGATGACCAGAGGTCCGGAGATCCTGTCCGACCTGGCTAGACCTTTCAGCGATCCTGTGGATTCAGTGTGTTGTGTTTTTTGGAATTGTGGGTAACTTGAGTGTTATGTCAACTCTGTGTGAAATGAATGTATTTGATTAATTGCCTTTAACTAAAATGGTAACGGTTGGCCTGCTGGAATTTGCCCATTAAATAATCTTTCAGATGTACTCTGTAACATATCATGCATATGAGTACTTGCCAACATGATCATCTTAAAAAAAACTATGTTTAAGGTAGATGGAATTTCAAATGGCAAAGCATGATTGAATCATGATTCTTATTAAGTCAAATTCCACTGTTAGGTCATTTTTAACTGTATGTGTTGTCTCAGCAGTGACTGCAAGATTCAGCTCAAACTCATAGATAAAAGTAATATTTCTAGGCCAGTTTCAAGCATTATTGCACCAGGCTCTCAGCCACACTTTTTGCCAGAAATCATGAACCTCATGGCAGTCAGCAGCATGGGGTATGCCACTACCACGGCTGCTACAGTTTACTGTCAAATTTATTACCTTAAACTGCCAGTGACAACATTTGTATGTTAATATTATCATGTTAATAACCAAGGCCTGGCCAAATGTTTGTGGTGGGGCAGAGGAGGAGTGTGGCAACATCAGGCAGTTCATAACTACGGTGATATTACAATAAAGCAGCATGACAGCCAGACCACTGAAAAGTGCTCCAGGCCATATCTAGCTTCTGGTTTGTACCAGTAAAGAAACTCTGGCAGTGAGAAATGGCACTGAAACAGTTTCACCATTTCACTATGATAGATGCTGTCACACTGGTCCAAAGGTGCCTCCTGCAGGAGGGCAGGGCAGGAATCTTCATGGCTTTGCAAACACCACAGGACTGTTGCTGTATATTGTTGTCTGCTGCTGTTGTGAAAGTTGTACAGCTCCTGTGGGCTCCCAGGGCTGCAGCCATTAAAGGTGGGTAAGGCAAGGTTCATGTTTAACACATGCATATAAGCAAGCGAGCAAACACGTTCATAGGTGTATTCTTTTTATTCATTCTCTTCACAGCTCTTTGAAACCCGTGATTTCTGCCAGCAGCAAACCAGCCATGAATTTTACTTTCACCAAAATGCTCTTGGTCTGTCAGTGTGCAATGGAGAAATGTGGAGAGTCCAGTTTGGTCCATCAATATCAAGAGGATTCCCAAACTGAATCAGGGCCAGCCAGTAATTCTTGATGTCTCTCCCACTTCTCAAGCAGGTGTTAACATGGAGCTAAACTGCTGAGCTGGTTGTTGGAACAATGCTTTGGCTCTTTGCAGAGAAATCAATAGATGGAAACCATGTGGATACAGTGATATTGTAACCAGCTGCTCACAAAGATAGGAAGCCTCGCTCTGCACACACACTCTGCTTGAGGCTTTTACTGACAGGTACCCAGCCTGGGCAGGACTAGACTCCTCTGTGCTGCAAGTGGTCCTTTGGACACACATCAATGCCAAAATGAACTTTGTGTCTGGTTTCTGACAGTTCTGGGAGAACGCACCCAGCAGCCTGCATCCTGGGTCCAGCACACGGAATTGCTTATCATCTGAAAAGACGGTTGAATATAGGTGGTGAAATGTCTTTTTCCTCCAATCTCATTCAAAGGACAGGCTGAAATAGCTCTGCTGAACTTTTTGAAAGAGTTCAGTCCAGGGCTGAGACATAGCATGGAAAACACAGCAGCTGCAGTTAGAAAGCCCTGTACCCCACAACGCTCAGAGAAGTTGTGGGTGCCCCATCAGTGTTTGAGGCCAGGTTGGATGGGGCTTTGAGCAATCTGATAGAGTGGAAGGTGTCCCTGCCCATGGCAGGGTGTTGGAACTGGATCATCTTTAAGGTCCCTTCCAACCTAAACCATTCTGTGGTTCTGTGATCTCAGTGTGGACTGTGTTGGGTCCTCATGTTATAAATATGAGTAGATTTTGCAAAAGGTCGACACCTTTGGGGTTTAGCAGAGGAGTGAAGTCCAGACGGGTGTCACTAGTGCAGGGCGTGCAACAGGGGACATCAGTGTCTTTCTGTGCGTTTCTGCAGCCGGATTGCTGTGGCTGTCCTGCCCTCTAGTGCCTGCAGCGCCGGCAGGCGCTGTCGCCTCTCCGCTCCCCCTTGCACGCACACGCTCCGTGGGTGCGGAGCTGGCCACCCTGCGGCCTTACCTGCCTGCCGGGGACAGCTGCTGCTGGGGACACTGACCAGAGAAAAGGGATTTGGAGGTGAAGGGCAGCAGGAGGCGGTGTGAAGGATGCGGTGCTCACACCTGGGCTCGGCTGGGGTGCTTGCCCCAGCCACCTGCATGCCAGCCCCCGAGCCACCCTCAAGGCCTGTGCCGCACAGCTTGCGTGACTGCCAGCATCACCCCAAACAGGTGACAGTGACGCCATGACCCCAAATCCCTTTACTCATGGTTTTCCGCTTCTCCGGTGACTGACAGGACGCGAGGGGTCCCCTCCCCTGTCAAGCTGCCTGTGTCTGGGGCTGAATTCAAGTACAAGGCTATTAATGGAAAACAGCCAGTGCAGTATATTCATGTCTGTATGGCCCCATAAAAACAAAACCTGCCTGGTACAGCAAACTCTACACAATGCTCTAGTTGTATCTATATATTCTAATGAAGTAAAAATGCAGGGCACACAATTCGTTATTCTTTTAATAATAATTTAAGAATACATAATAATGCCAAAACCTATTTAAACAATTCAAGTATATTTTCTAGCAAACACAAAGCAGAAGTGATAAAAATGAAAATATTCCAGGTGATCACCTACTTCTTGTAATGTTCCAAACCCAAATATTCCAGTCAGCATTTCTTTGAACCTTTTCAGGAATGATCCATGGCAGTCCTCTAGGTTATGCTGTCTCCTGTAAAGACATGACAAAGCAATTATTAAGTAATGAGGAATCCTTAAAACTGACATACAGTGTTCCAAAAATGAGCTGAAACATTTACTATTCTCAATGAATCATGTCACAAAGGCTTTTTATTTCTCTAGATAAAATTAGCCTGAAGTAATTTACCTGAAGTCGTGACAGAAGTGTCCACCATTGTGCAAAAAAAAAAAGGCAAAATCTTGGTCCTACTGAAATTGAGGTAAACCTCCCACTGACTTCAATGCCTAAATCACAGTTTCATTTCAAGCCTCCAATTCCAGTCATGTGCATAAATATAAATTCTTCTTAGAATGTTTAGACAGATGTAGTGAGCACCAACTACCTTAATTTCATACACATTTTGCTGGATGCTTTGAGGAATCAATCGTAAATTAAAAAAAAAAGCACATTGTTGAAATACTGTTGACTTAGCAAACAGAGGAGGAGTTTACAGGGTAATATTCCAGCTTTGAAAAGCATCCATGGGTGTGTCTACAATCTGTACTATGCAACGCTAGACACTCAGTTTTAACTTATTGTATTACATCAAACCACCGAGTGGATTTGTTGGTGGTTACATCTCATTGCTTCTGATTTTCAGCTGCCTACAGAGAGAGGTAAATACCCGACACCTTCCAAGGGAGCTTTTCCATGTAAGGAGTAGCTGCCTCGGCCCTGATTATCACGGGATGTCCTAGTCAAGGACGGAGGGAAGGCAGGGTCTGCCTTTGAAGCCACACGTGCAAGTGGTCCAATTAAAAGTCTGGACGTGTCTGGACGTCCCTTTTGAGGGTATGAGATGTGGAGCAGGTCCTTGTCTCTTCAGGTGTCATTCCTGACATCCCACACTAGATTGGGATCTGGCCTACTGGGTTAGCACACATCTATCTCCTCTGACCTGCAGAGAGGAGGTCGCACAAAGCAGTCTGGACAAGGCAGGACTTTTTCCACAAGTGCACCGAGCAAGGAAAAGGCATTGCTGCAATGGAGTGCAGCTGTACTTTTATGAGGGGGAATGCCCCACTTGGGGAGTTGGCCTGTGAATAGACAGACACATGTAGCAGCGCAGGCGCATTTTGTCAGTCATGTCTGGTACCGTTCCCAGTGAACCAGCAGGAAAGGATGATTACAAAGAAAACTGAGGCTGACTTAGTGTGTGGCTCCAGCCCCTCACCAGAGCTCTGGGAGTCAGGAAGCTGAGGAGGATTTTACACTGGCAGAAATCCCCAGTGGCAGATAACTCTTTGAACCTAAAGAGCTTCAGGAACAACAGCCTTCACTCTATTACCTGCTGAGATGCCCATCCAAGTTTGTCAGGAAAGGAGAGACTAACATAAGTGAAAAGAAATTTATGTAAGTGCTGTAATAGCTACCTTTCAAAATAGGGCAAGTAAGGAAATTCTGTTCTGAGAACATTATCAAAGCACTTGCAAAGGATGCTCTCAATGTTCTTCTCATGACCTTCTAGCATGCGGTGCAGGACAACATTACTTTTCAACTGTAAATGTCCCAGATTTTTGATGGATTGGATTGTGTAGAAGTGGATAGAATTTCACTGCCATTCATTGCACTAGTAACCTCTCTCTTGATTCTTACAGCCTGAAATCAGCAATGTCAGCATATGGAAAACATGCTTTAATGCTCTACTGTTGCTTAGGTTCATCCTTCAGCATGGCTAAGGCACAACACTTGTAAATAGACAGGAATTCCTTTCTCCTTTCTAAGCCGTTCACCTCCATTCACTTGATGACTTGCCTGCTTGTTACTCAGTTTCCAAATCCTCTGTTCCTGCTTGATCCGATTCTTCTAACTGGAAAGTGATGTGACGTGAAGGCTGTTCCTCAGCAACAGCCTGGCCAGTCTCTTCTTTCTCTGCGACCAGTTGGTCAGCAGTGTCCATCTCACCAGTCACCTGGGGTGCTGCATCTGTTGTCCTGGGCTCTTCAGCAGGTGCCTCTATCTGATCAGACAGAGGTTTATGGCTAAATGCATCTAAGCGTTTTTCAACCACTGTACAAATCAAGGCTGAAACAGAGAAAGCCACCATTAACAAACTATAATTAGAGATCATTTTATATATTACTGACCTACAACTTCTTAAAACAGGAAAAAAACAAACAAAATAATACCAAAAAGGAAAGAATACTTGAATGAGAAAAACCATCCCTGCTGCCATGGCCTAGTTCCAGTCAAATGAGCAGTTTACACTGAAAGCAGTGATTTGAAAGGGTTCACCTGCATTCTTTTGTTCATTTCCTCACAGTTGTTCCTCACTTCGGGAGCAGGTCACCCTGCCAGGAACAAGGACTGGGCAGGTTGCACACAGGGTGATGTTTCTGATAGTGGAAAATGCTGGAACTATGGGAGCCATCAAAAGATTTTCTCTTTTTGAAAAGCAGCTGTAAAGCACCTATTCCTTATTATTTTTGCTGCTTAGCCTTTGTAAATTTTTCTAAACATCATACTCCTTCCAGTGGACTCACTTTGATACACATCATTTAAATATGAAAAATAGAGGCCAACAATGAAAGAAGAGAGGTTTAACACAGAAAATAGGACAATGTACAGGTACTACAAAGACCTTCATTGTTAATTCATGGGTTGACTTTAGCAAGTAAAAGAATGGTCATCTCTGAGAGGACAAATGTCAGACTCTTACACTGAGGGTGCTTCCTTTGTAGTTCACAGGTCTTTTATTGGACAGTGACAAAATAAATCCTTTAAGTAGCATCTTCATTCAAGTAGGTTAAAAATGGATCTTTACAGACTTTTCCTATGCTTCTGCATCAGGGGGGAAAGAAGCCACAAACTATCTCAGCTGATAGTTTGCCTCTAGAAAACTTGGAGAATTCATTTTGCAGTTCCTTTTGCAGAGATGAGGTTACTCAATAGCAGGTGATTGGGTATAAGCCAGGAAATACAGAGGGTAAACAGCAAAACAGGGGTTGCTGATATTACTTATTGGCCTGCTCCGGGTGCTCTGTGTGTCGTAAAACTGGTGCAAGACCATGATATCTAGTTAAAAACTTACACAGAAATATTTAACAGGAATATGCTAAGACGTTTTCATCAATACTCTATCCTCCAGCAACATTCTTCTTGGGATTTATTCAGTAGTCATACCCAACACTTCTTTCTTAAAAGAAAATTCCCTCCCTCCTGAAGAGCTACATGAAGAAGTGATCCTTGAGTGTACATAGTAGCATGTATATCATACGTTAAAATACTAACAGACCAGCTGCAATTATGCAAATTATACCCTAACAAAGGATCCTGGTTAAACTGAAAATAAACCCAAAGGAAACAAACACAATTGTAATTAAAACCCAAAATCACAGCAGGAGGGAAACTATAGGAATGAAGATATAACTCAAGTGTAAAAAGTAGGACCACCACGGTGGACATGCATTCATCATAATTTTGTGTTTCTACACAAGACAGAGTTTAGATTGTTCAGGTGTTTCAACTGCAGCCTCTGAAGACTGACTAATAAAAAAGAACCTGAATGCTCAGCTTGAACTAGCCCAAAAGCCGACTGGTATTTTATTCTATCTGAAAAGCAAGGACACGATTATCAACTGCTGCGGAGGTAAGCCCTGGTTTTGATGAAAAGTGTTGGTCACCTGACTTCTCAGTCAACCATGGCCTATGATTATCTTTCTCTTCTCCTTTCATGTAGGATGAACATACTACTCCCTCACACAAACGAGTTAAGAGGCTTTTGTGGTATACACGTGGCTGCAGACAGGACGGGCTTTTCTGTTCCCGCTGGCACAACCAGGCACACTACAGAGAACAGCAGAGCAATGGTGGCTGTGTAACATGTGAGAAATAAAAGTTTCATAGCAGAGGAAAGAATTGGTGTTCTTTACCCATTCTGCTCCTGCCAAACGTATTGCATCTCCCAGCATCAACACATCTTAAACAGTATAAAGCCAGCAGAGAGAGGACAGTGCAGCATAACTGACACTTCTGTTATTTCAGCAGAAAATCAGTTACCTAGATGTATGTGGTAGTAGTTTTCCAATATCAAAAATGTTTTAATATAGTAAAAAAAACCCACAACCCAAAAAACCCCACAAAAAGCCATGGATATTTGGAGTTCTTGCTAAAATGACACATCCTACATTAACCCACAGTGACCCTGTAAATGTGGTATTTGTTCTGACTGGAAAAAACAATCAAGAACACCAAGGAGCCCAGATTACATTCCAGGAACTTACAGTCAAGGATTGTCCTCCCCAGAGCCTTCCTCTCTAGTGTTTCTTCCACTTCTGTCATAAGCCACGGAAAGAATTCTGTCTCAATATCTATAAGAATTTAGCAGGAAGAAAGAAAGAAAAAAATGTGGTTTTATGAAGGATGAGCAAGAGGATCTTGGGGCTGTTTTTCATTTGCTACAACCATCAAGGGATGAACATCCTTGCCAAAAGACACTTGCTTTGCAAAAGCCAGATGAAATCTCCCAAGTGACATTTGGTTTCTTATCTCCTGCCTCCCTTACTGAGGTTCCTCATCGTTATGGTCCTAGACCAGTGTCCTCTCAACTGCAGTGATTTTCAAAGGGGTCTGGCACCCTTGAAGCGCTAGCATGGATAAGATACACAGTAATGTTCTAGTGAGATGAAAATAACTATCCTGAACAAGTCAGGAGAATAACATTTCCTGCCTTGCTTTCCAAAGACATCTGGCTTCTGGCCTGCTGAAAGCGTTTGTTCCCTCTGACTAAAGGGCTCTTGCTTACCCATGTATTTCTCAAATCGTGCTCTCTGCAGGCCCTGGTCCCAAAGCCTGTCCCATTTGCAAAAGACACTCAGTTTCTGCATTTGCCCCACGACTCATTCTGGAGAGAGTGTAACCGTTCCCAAGCTGTGGTCTATGCACCTGTGCAGGGCCTGGGGAAGTGGGGTGCAGCAAGGTAGCCCATGAGAAATGCTGCTGATTCTAAAAGCTTGGAAGTCACCGATGTACAACTCTGAAATTATTTTCAGGGCCTAATTCTAATTGACTAATTTCTCCCTTGCTCCGATAATCATTAAAAAAAGATTCAGAATGACTTACAGATTTATTTGCCTGTCCTATCAAAATACATTTACATCAATTTGGATATCTCTTTCTCTGCTCTACCAATCCTAACCACCCATTTATTTCTCTCCAATTCAAAAGCAGCTCCTCTCATTGTCACACTGTCAGCTCTTGCTTGACTACTCGTACAGTTGACCAGTAATGTTTGTTTGTGTTAAAAATATGAGTTTGGAAACTATCTGTTCAGCCACAAAAGTAAACAAATAAAGTCTTGTGACATTATTCTAAATAACAGAACAATAAGCTATGTATTATGGTTGGTTTGGCCTTTATATTACTCAGTTCATTTAGTAAAAAAAATAATAAACACAAACCTCTTTCTATAGGGTCATAAAAAAATCCACTCTCGCGAAGATTGTTGAAGACCGAGGGAATGAGATCAGCCAAGTAACGCTGAGCGAATGCCCGAGCTGCAATTTTCTCTGTGGTCTCTTTCTGTTTCTGCAGCATTTGCATGTGCTGGAGTTTGCGACGTTCCTGCCAAGGCAATATTGCATGTAAAACTTCCAGGCCTTTAGCTGTTACCCCTTTGATCTAGACTTTGAAGAATGATCACAGTGTGAGAGTCATAAATAGCAAAGATAATCAGAAGTACAGATACTTACAGTCTCTACCTGGTATTTGCAGCCTCTAACTTTCACAAAAGCTCCTCATATGAAAGAGCGCTTGAAAGCAAGCTTGTACTCAGTCTATGGAGTACTAAAACCCAAAAGGACTAGAGGGAAACACGTTCCTTTGGTATACCTTTTCTGATTTGGGCAAGTCTGTAAAATAAAGGCCTTGAAGCTGGCCAAATGAAACCCTTCTCTGATACCTTAGTATGCATTGATCTCATGACTCTTTGCTTTATTATTGCCGATCAAGCTGATCGTTGGCCTTGGAACGAGATGAAGCTGGGTCAGGATTTCCTGAACTTTTCATCTTTCAATATGATATCCTATTTGATGGGAGAAAAGATTAAAACTCAAATTGGTCCATAAAAACATTAAAAAAACCCAATTATACAAGGCTGATGATTAGTGAGTAATTAAGATTTGCCTTTTTTATTTATTCCTATTTACTAGATAGTACTAAAATAGCTTAATACTTGGAGATCTTGAGAGGTATGTGTGCACATACAGTAGTGCATGCATTGGGTGTGAAAGACTCAGAGGCATAACTCTTACTTTCAAGCACTCTGACTATTCATTTGGCAGTTATTATAATGAAAAGGCTTGAGCAACAGCTACACCAGGTACAGAGGAAAATGCTGTTGGGTCTCTTGATCAGGTGTCCAAGTACACCAGCTCACTGGAACATAACTGCTCCAAATAAATACAAAGCATGGTGCTGGTGCACGACAGCAAATGGCAGAGTGGAGCTGTATGGCACCAAAATGCTTTGAGGAATATCAAACTTGACAGTACCCTTTTGGACACATGCAGCTCATTTCACAGCTTGTCTTTAGTACTGGAAATGGTTTTCTCTCTGCTGATGAGCGTTCGGACAGGCCTGTTCTGCTCTTAGGAAGTCCTACCTTCTCCTCTCTGTATCGCCTGTCCTGCTCTTCCAGGCGCTGTACTTCCGCAAGCTCCGCGTTACGCAGCTCTGCGTAGGCACGCTGATGTGCCCACAACTGGGCCAGCTCTTCTTCCTCCATGACTTCCAGCAAAGCTTGCTCAACTGTTTTCCCAACCAACACTTCCAGGATCGGCTTGACTTCGACATCAAAGTCAAACAACTGAGGATGGGAAGGCAGGGAAATGGAGATAAATGACCCTTGATCACAATCACAATCACTCTTAACACCTTGGCAAGGAGAAACAGAGTGAGACACCACACAGCCACTGGGGGCTGCCAGGGAGAAGCAGAGCACTCACCTGGACCCTATTTCTGTGCTCCCAACCCCTTCTTGGGCTGGACACCTTCTACAGGAGTCAAAGCAGACATTGAAGACTTTTTTTTTTTTTTTTTTTGTCCTGAGGATAAGTTCATTTCTATTTCTGCCTCAATTTTGCATGAGAAATGTGTCTTGTATGGGAGACATGTTTTCACACACCTGACTTCACTTCATACCTCTCCTTCTTCTATTTGCGTGGCCACATCTTTTCCTGTTTTGGCTGGTATGAAGAGCGGAGTGGGTGGCCTGTCCAAAAACGCATCTGTTTGACACTCTGTATCAACCTCTATTATCCGGTCACTAATCTCTTCCAAATACAGTTCTAAAAACAAAAGCACAACGAATGCTGAAAGCTGGACTGTTTTTATTTTAACTCGCAACTATTTTTGATGACTCTACAGTGTGAATTATATCTAAAGCATACAATAAAATTTCTTCTATAAAGTTAAAAAAAAACCCAACAAAAAAACACCTCAACTTAAAAGATAGATCTGCATATGCCGTCTGATGCCACGTTCTCTGTAACGTCAGGTGCACTTCTTCAAAGTGATTCCTAAAAGGGCATTTCACTTAGTAGGTTTCAAAGTCAGAGTCTAGACCATTTCAGCCCACCTTGCAGAATAAACAATTCTTGGTGGAGTCAATGGGATAGGACAATTTCAAAAAGGGATAATGATTGCCTGTCTACTAATGAATAATATTGAAAACATACATTTTTCTCCATTGTATGCAGCAAAACAGAACACTGGATCTGTTGGGTTTAAAGAATTATATTCTACTTTTGGTCCCACCGGAAGTGGTCTTGAGGTAACCACACATCTGTAACAGCACGTGCTTGATTTGGATTATAACTGTCGGTCTCCTACTGCAGAGGTAAATAGCCTGGCTCAGAAGATAAGGTCTGTAGACTACTTAAGATTATCTGCAGTAGTCAGTGGGAAGGATATGAGACCCAGACGTCCAGACTAGATAGCCTCCTTCTGCGTCCAAAGTATTTGAATGGTGAAAAGCGACTGTGTGCACTGGAGGCGGTGTGGGAGGCTCAGCAGGGCTGAGGCATAGGAAACATTCAGAAACCAAAGCCCATGCCTGATTAGTGTGTAACACAGCTGTTTTCCCAGTTTGTCAGTTAGTCCAATCTGAAATGATTTTCAGAGGGCACAGCAATACTTTACACTCACTCATGATTACCCCAGTGCCAAATTTTGGTTTTCCTACAAAGAAAATTGTTTTCCCACAAATAGGGCTGTTTCCTATTCTAGATTAGGGTGTGTCCCCCAATTTTTAATAGTAGTCTTATTCTTACATGTGACTTAAGCAAGATTTTAAAAAAACCTCCATTTTAAGTATATACCAAACTTCTCTGATGACACAGGAAAAGGAAAGAATAAATGAAGTTCTTAACTAGTGTTCAAGATTGTACTCTGAAAACTGGAAAACAGCCTCTGGGAAAATGTCACTAATTAGCCAAGTTTATTAAATACAACTCAAAATAAGGGGTTATAATAGAAAATATTAGAGAACGTGATTCTAGAATCCTCTGATTCTAACCTTGACCCTATGTGATTCTACCAACTGCATCATCAATTTAGTAAGTGAATATAAATCAGCAAATTTTTGTTTTCAGATGAATTTTTTAAAAATTCAGCATTTTACCTGTCTGCACATGAATGTGCTCTCTGCCTTCCACGGGCTCAGGTGTTCTTGGCTGCATTTGCTCTTTCGCGTGCTTTCTAGCCAGAGCTCTTTTCCGTGCCTCCCTCTGCCTTTGAATCTCAAGAGGATTGGGCTGGGTACTCTAAGCAGGGGTGAAGAAGAAAAAAACCACAAAACAGAATACACTTTGTACCTGAAAATGATATTAATTTCTCTCTAGAGGAAAATGAAGGAGGTTGGTTGATTTTAATACTACAAATCTAGCATTTTAGATTTACTTTTCTGGGTCCTGACGCTAAATTTTCAGTTACCTTAAAGACTGCAGGGCATGAAACTAGTAAGGTATGCTAGCTGCCTACAGGCACATACCAATGGCATCTCACACTAAGAGCAGTTAGTTGTTATTTGCAAGTGGATATGGTACACAGAACTTTGCTTTGAGAGATAAAGTATATTAAAATGGCACGTTCTTACTCACAAATGAGAGTTTCTCGGTAAAGTTTTGAGAAGGTCAAATGCACTTAAGTCCAGTTATCATAGTACCAACACAATTGTTTGGTAGATAAAAATTATAGGTCTGGTATTGCTGATGAAGCAAAAGAAACCCATACTAACTTTTAAATCCGGTATTCTGTTTATGGATTGAAACGAACATCAGTTTCGAACTTCTTGAACAGAACACACGAGAAATTCACTCTAAGAAACAGCTACTGAACAACACAAAGTTATTTCCACAAAGTAGCTTTTAAAAATACAGAGTGCTTTAAACTATTATATGATCAAATTATCTATGTAGAAATATTCTCTGAAAATAAAGTACTACTAAAACATTTACTACTGTATTTGGATAAGTAAAACACTTTTGCCTCCACACAAGCAGCTTTTGCATACAGCTGGACCATTTAGCTCTGCTTCTACGGTAGGATAAGCCAAAGTCTACAAAAGACTTAATTTCCCAAGAGCTGCCATTCTCTCTGATGACACCTTGCATATGATAACAGACTATGCAGTGATGACTTGTGCTCAGGATCATTGCAGTGAAAAAGGGTGGGGAAAAAATAATCAAGAACTTAATGGGGAAAAAAAAATCAGAACTACGTAAGTTCATGTGAAACTGAGTGCTTTAAAGAAAAGCCGAGAACAGTCACATGCTAGTTTAACTGGAGAGCCTGTGTCTGCGTGAAATACTTAAAGCAAAAGTACAACTTCTGTAGTTAAAATTATTAACGAGGAACATCATTCCCGCCCTACCTATTGCTTTTCAACAAAGCTGCAGCATGAGCCGCATAAAACCACATACCGCAGGTATGACGCGGAGGGCATAGGTGTTGCCGCGCACCACTCTCCTGTCATACATGAGGTTGGCGTAACGAACGGGTTCCTTCTCTCTGCGACATCAAGCACGGACAGGTGTGGTTACAGAGCCGCCGCCCACCCGCGAAGGCCTCAAACAGCCCAGAAGGGCTCTGAGAGGCCAGAGCGCGCAAATTCCCC